AGAAGAACTTTCTTTGAATTATTGATATTATTATTATTAATATTACTATCACAGTATAGTTATTATTAGAACTAACAATGGAATAGGTATATAATATGCTACAAAATATAAAAACACAAGCCAATTGACTTTCCTAAGACAATGATAAAACCAAAACAAGATAATAAATAAATATTTATTGATCAAGACTTTTTAAAAAAAAAATAGCTAATAGTGAATACAATAATATCTAAATAGTCATTATTGTTTTTAAAAATGCCCAAGAGAAAATGTGTCTTCAATGATCGACTGAAGGAATCATATAAATGTTTTGTTGATGGCCGTGACGTTAGTGAAGCTAAATGTATCATCTGTGATTGCTATGTTTCAGTTGCCAATAAAGGTATGTTTTCCTTCAACAGATTTATATATTTTAAATTCATTAATATGCTTAGTATTTTTAAATTTTTGACAGGGTCTTATGATTTAAAAGCTCATTTAGACACAACTAAACATAAGTCAAGAATAGCTAGTTCTGCGGTTTCATCATCAAACAATTTAGGTAATTTTGTTATTAACAAAAATACACCTGAAGTTTTGAAAGTTAGTGCAGTGGAGGGTACACTCGCATTTCATACAGTTGTACATCACCATAGTTATCGATCTATGGATTGTACCCCTGCAATCTTACGTTGTATGTTTGATGACTCTAATACTGCTAAAAAAATAAGTTGTGCACGAACTAAAACTGAAGCAATTGTAAATAATGTACTGGCACCACATTCTCTGAAAGTTATGGTTGAATGTTTAAAATGCATACCTTTTATTAGTATTGCTACAGATGCAAGTAATCATGGTAACACAAAAATGTTTCCAGTTCTTATTCAATACTATGATTATTTGAATGGCGGAATTAATGTTAAACTTATTGATCTCAAAAATACAAAAAATGAAACTTCAGATACTGTTAGTGAATTATTGTTGGAATCACTGAATAAAAATAATATAAAAAGTAAATGTGTTGCATTTGTTGGAGATAACACTAACACAAATTTTGGAGGCATTAATCGTAAATCTGGTCAAAACATATTTTCAAAACTTAAATCTAGTGTTAATAAAAATTTGCTTGGTATTGGTTGTCCTGCTCATATTTTGCACAATGCCATACACCATGGTGTGGATCAATTTGATATGTTTGATATTGAATCAATAATTCTTAAAATTTACAACTATTTTTCTATTTACACAGTTAGAACAGAATCACTGAGAGACTTTTGTGAGTTTACAGATATTACATACAGAGAATTACTGTATCACAGCAAGACAAGATGGTTAAGTTTATTTCCTGCAATTAACAGAATTTTGCAAATGTTCCCTGCGTTAAAATCATATTTTGTATCACAAGACCAAACACCTAAAGCACTATTAAACTTTTTTGAAAATGACTTTAGTGAACCTTTTTTACTTTTTGTACATTCTTTGATGAGTACTTTTCATAACAGTTTGGAAAAAATAGAAAATGAGAGCAATTCAATCTGTGAAATAATAAATATAGTTGAAAATATTTTGACAAATCTAAAAGGTAGAACAACAGAAAAATTTATACCCTTGGCCGTAAAAGCAATTATAAAACATTTGAGAGAAAATGGAGAAGAAATTGCCTGTGATAATTTTATTGAACATTGCTTATGTATATATTCCTCTACAACCAGTTATTTAGAAAAATGGACTATGTCATTAATGCAATTTAAAGTAATTTAATTTATCCAGTTTGTTTATTAATTATTTTTAATCAAAAATTATTTTTCAAATTATTCAGGTATTTAAATGGATGGACATTCAGAAATCTGTTCCTATAGATTACAATGAAGTTGAAGAATGTATAACTTTCTTAAAGTCTCTAAATGTTTGTATTGATGATGTACAATTATTTGACCAGATTCAAAATTTAAAAACATTTATTAGTATTCAAGATGATACATATTTCTTAGAAAAATCTCCAAATAAGTTTTTATTGTTTTTTTCTTCGAATCAAAACATAACAACATTTTCTGAAATTTTGAAAATTGCACAATTTTTTTTTGCTATTCCAGGACATAACGCTAGTACTGAGAGAGTATTCTCACTTATAACAAGTCAATGGACTAAAGAACGTAACCGTTTCTTATTGGAAAACATTAAGGGCGTTATGATGGTTCAATTTAATTTTAAACATTTTAAATGTGCTGATTTTTTTAAATACTTGAAAGATCAAAAAAACAATTATATTTTAAAAGAAATATCTAGTTCTGACAAGTATGGATTGAATTCTAAATAATGTTTAAAAGTTTTTAAGGTAGTTTAAAAAGGTTAAAAATAAATGTTTTGAATTTGCGTTTAGTTTTGGTTGATTATTTTAATTTTATTGTATCTAATAGATATTTTAGATTTTTAATATGCTGTTTATATTGTGCTTCAATCGGTCAACTGAGTATAAAAAATTGTGTTAAATACTAAAATACATAACACAAGTATGTTTTGTATATTATGAATAATTTTAGAGTACCTACTCATAAAGTCTTAAAATACATTAACGATTGTATAATACAAGTTGTGTATCCATATTCCGTGTAGGTATCAATTACAAACATGTATTAGTAAACAATAAAAAAAGTCCTCTTTTTTTATAAGAGACATCTGGTCACCCTATTTTTCGGTGACTTAGGACTCCCAACTAATTCGGGATACCTGGTAGCAAATCGACTTGCAACATATCCAGCTACATACTGTGCGATCTCTGCTTCTATCTGGTCAAATGGCTCTTCAATTTCCATCTGAAATAATAATCAGTAGGTAGTATTAAAAATCTTACTTTTTAAAATATGCATTACAACGTTTAATATGTTTTATTTATATTTACCTCAAACTGTTGTAGAAGATCATGAAGCGGTTGTGGAACTACCATATCTACTACACCTTTGCTGTATTGAATTTTAGCTGTATCTTGTGTGTCTTCATTCAGTATATAACTTTGTATCATCTCCTGTGTGAAAGTTTGGCAATCATCTAATTCTAGTAAATTAGATTCTGAGCTTTCTTCTACATTGGTGTTATTGGTAAATATAACATCGGAATGTTTACCAAGTATATACCACCTTAGACTAAAGAATTATGTTTTATATTTTATTAGCTATAAATAAATTACATTATAACCATTAATGTTCTATGTTATCGAAATTGAATACCAGTATTCAAAGTCTAGTGCTATTATGCTATGTTACCGCTTGCACATCCGCTCATCCTTTTTAAAAAACTAAATAGATGTTCCAAAACGTCTTGGTTCAATTTTCGAGTTAATATGTAATCAAGACCGTGATATTTTTGTAAATCGAGGAATACATTTTTCAGAGACAAATTGCATATTAAAATTCCTTTATTAAAAGAAACCATACATATTAATGTAGTATCAATAATGGTTACAAAATTAAAAGTCAATTTTACCTTTCTGGAAAGGTAACATGTTTTTTTCTTTTCCTCCAGATTTAAAATTATGTACCCTCATGTTTTGTATGAAACTACTCATTTCATCTAGGATATCATTTTGACTGTTCAAATTCAAGCCATAGCCACCTACCTTATAACCTTTCCACACCTTTGTCAAATTTTTGATTTGTATTGAACAAGTCAAACCATTTATTAAATAATGATATCATTTCAGCTGCCTGTTTTGTAAATATATTATGTGGATATTAAGAACTTTTAATTCATATTAGATGTAGTTAACATTTTATTTATTGTTATTTCAAATTGCACTTTTCCAATTGTACTTTTCTATATATTTTTTTTCACCATAATAGGCGATTGCTTTTGATACGGAATTAGAAAGCAACTGTACTGCCAGCCTGACATTCATACGCCCTGGTCCATTTGTTAAAATATGCCTTTCAGAATTTTTATGAGCTAATCTATGGCCATGTTTTGAATCTAAATTAAAAAGCTCCTGAAATATATTCTTTCCAACAAATGTGCCATTTGGTAGAATAAATCCTCTATAAAGATTGTACTATTAGTCATAAAAACATTAGTTGAAAACAATGAATACTTACTTATCAAGTAAATGATTTTTTGTCAGCTTTACAAGGTGTGGCACATCTACAAATACATGGATCTGTCTTTTACTACACGGATGCTCAAATGAAGTTTAAATCTCTCCATAAACATATTTTTTGGCCCCATATCATTTACCATAGAAATTGTTTCATATCCAACATTGTACAACTCTTTTATGATATTTAACAAAAGGTCTTTTGTCATGGCCGTATCAAAGTTATAGTAAATTGGTTGTTTCCAATTACTAACAAGACCTTTAAAAAATAATTTATAATATATTATAGAAAATTAATTATTTTAGTCTTAAAAAAAAACATTATCAAAGTAGGATTTTATTTTGTCAGTACCTCGAGCAACAACAGTCTGTACACATTTATATGGGCCTAAAACTTCTTCATTCTGCTTATCAAAACAAATCCTACTAGAGATATATGTTTCATCAAAACTTATAATATATAGTTTGTCAATCGGCCTCATTAATTCACCTTTGATAAACATTTTATTGTATAAATTATTAATAAATAATTTCTTTATATTTGAATTGCAAGTATTTTTTTTTGTTTTTACCTTTTGATTTCATGAGAGAAAGTACATGTGTTAATAACCCAGGACTAATGGAACATGTTGATGCCCATGTTCGAAGCGTTGACAAAGCTTAAGAAATTAAAATGTATGTTAAAACATTTGTTTAAAAGTATTATTAAATGGTTCTGCATTATTTTGTATTAACCTGGTAAGGGCATGAGTTTCTTTGTTCTTAAGAAGCGGTACATTTTGGGAGATATACTTCTTAAAGTGATTGCAGAACAAATATCTTCAGTAGTCCACTTGGGAACTGTTTTTTTTTGGATGCAATATTAACTGGATTTGGGTGGGCGTAAAAACAATAACTTTTTGTTTAAACATTTATGGCATAAAACACAATAACTTGGTTATAATGACCATAACGTATCATCTAAGGATTGCAAAAATAATAATTTGTTAAGATGTTTTGGGGTTAAACGATTACTTTGATTACTTAAAGTTAGTCCAGCTTTAGAAAACAACCTCTCACTTGGTACAGATGTTGCAACAGTTGACAAATATTTTATTGCAATGTTTGACAATATGGGATATACACTTTTCATATCTTTAAATAAGTGAAGAGGATTGTCTGATAACCGAGCCACGCTTGATTTCAAGTACAAATTTAGTTCATTTGGAAACCCTATGTCATCTACGTCTGGTAGATTGTTGTACCATAGATTCATTTTCTTGCCATAAATTGAAAGGTTTTGCTTCATCATGTTCTAAAACAAAATAAATATATACATATAATAATATTATAATACAGTTTTTTTTTTTAAATTTAATTTCTTGAAGTTTCCATACCTGTTATTGTATCACTGTCACTTTGATCTTGGTTTTGTTTTATCTCGTCAGAAATATATTTTAACGTCTTAGAGAGTGCCAATGGATCTTTAAAATAAATCTTTTTAAAACGTGGATCTAAAACTGTTGCTATGCTTAAAAGTGCAACACTTTCAACTGAACCAAAACGCTTCTCACAGTGAAATAAGATTTCTTTTTTCAACTGAATGCCTAATTCTTGTGTAGGTTTGAATTGGCTGATGTTTTTAACCATAATGTATATCATAGGAATAACCATACTTGAAGTTATATATTTTTGACCACAAAGTTCTTTGGTAGATGCTTAAATAGGTCTTAATAAATCTATAATATCAGAAATATCATTGATCGCGCTGTAATATGTTTATGCACAATATCATTAATTATTTTGCTTAGTTTAGTGAAGCGTTCTAACATGTAATAAGTACTGTTCCATCTGGTTGCCACCTCTTGAATAAGTTTCCCATCACCATTGGTTGCTTTTCGCAGTTCGTCGCTTGCCACAACACTATGCTTAAACCATTTAATAATATTTTTCACTTTTGAAATTAGTTCTGTCAGTTTGGAGACACTTGAAATTGCATTCTGTGCTACCAGATTCAGTTTATGTGCAAAGCAAAGAATGTGTTTTTTTTTCCAAAAGATAGCTTTAGTCATGTTTGCCGCTCCATCGGTTACCACTGAAACTATTTTTTGTTTGGTAATATTCCATTCTACGCAAACATCTACCAATTTAGTGGCTATATATTCACTTGTATGTCTCTCGTCTAGTTCATATACTCCTAATAATGCTGCGTTGAATTTATATTGATCAACCAAGTGAATAGTAACACCAATATAACTCCTAGTTTGGATGTCTGTCCAAATATCTGTGGTTAAAGTGAAACATTGTACATTTTTTAATTTTTCCATAAAAATTTCCTTCATTGCATCATATTTTTCAAATATTTTGCTAAGAATATATCGACGACTGGGTACTTTAAAATTTGGTGAAACTGTCTTCATTAAGTATTTAAACCCTGCATCTTCGACTATGCTTAATGGCTGATTGTCTTTACAAATCATAAACATAATTGCATGGATATTTTTTTCGGATTTGACACCACCTTCTATAATTATGCCATAACACCAAATGATTCTGAAATCGTTTTTTGCCGTTTAAATGCTCCCATAAAAGTTTCATTGGATACGTTATGGTCTTTATTTTGTTCAATGGAACTTGCAGGTAAATCATGAATATTTGATGTTGATGCCACAGTAATCTCGGATACTGATGCCTCAGGATTCTTTGGTTTATCTTTATTAGATAATAAAGTATTTTTATGTTTGCTCTTTAAATGTCCATTCATATTAGATGTGTTACCTAAAAAATATGTTATGAAATAAATGTTGTGCTCCACTTAGCATACGATAAACCAGAATAAATATGCAAATGTTGAAATGCATACAAATCTACGCTCTACATAGGTATTATAAGTAGGGTCCGGAACTTGAAGCATTTACATCTTTTTATCTAATGCTTGTATTCGAGGCACATCTTTATAGAAATTTGACTTGTGCCATGCAGAATTCAATAATACAAATTTAATTTTGCATTTATTGCATTTTTTCGGTAATTCTCAGTTGTAAGGTTATTTTTTAACAATTTTAGTGAATTTTATGCATTTTTCTACTTTTGTATGTATATTTGCATTTTACTTGCTAAAAGAACATATTTCATTCCATATTATTTTGATAAAATTTAATATTTAAAAAAACTAACATATTATATTGTATAGCTGAATCCTTCAATTATTTACGTATTGACATTATTTGTATCTTATTGTTTTAGATTTTTTTAGGCCCCGTGCAGTCGTGAGTTATTTTGAAGTGAGAAACCCCTGTGTTATTGTAATTTCGATTTGATTGGTTTACCCAGCATAGATTTATATAATAAATATTTTAGACTTTACTATCGGACAATCGACAATCTTTTTTTTTTAAATATTAAACACGTTTTAATAGTTAAGTCATTCAGTGCAACACATTTATTGTTAAAAAGTATTCAAACAATATTTATATTACACATTAATTGTTTTTAGTATATAACTTTAGTTTAAATTGTTTAGGTAATAAAAACATATTTAATGTATACAAAAATTTGCGTAATTTAAATTCATATGAATAAAATAATAAATAATTCATTAAAAAATATGATTGATAAATATTTTTTATGAACTATGATGTCTGACACATGAGTTCATAATAAAAAAAAAGTAAATTTTTAAAATTAACATTTTTATAGTCGCAATGGTCATTTTTGTTATTTTTTATGTTTAGAAGTCATTTTAACCGTTTTTTGTGGGCATTTTTAAAGATTTAAGGTCATCAAGTTCCGGGCCATAGTTAAAAGATTCATTAAAGAATTTACAAATTATTTAACTGAGATACCCATGTATTAATATTAAATAAATTATACTCTACCTGATGATTTTATTTTTTTTTGGTATAGCAAACATGTTGCAGTTTTGTCATCGTCTTTTTTAAAAACTTTCACACATTACTAGTTTTATTACTCATTTTGTAATTTTAAACAATTAAATACGAAATATTATTCACTTAACACAAAACTACAAAACTAAACGTATACAAATGCAGAGAAATAATAAAATTGTTCTTCAGTCTTCACTACACAGTAGACGTACCTAGTCGAAAAACATACCTAATGAAAATTAATATTGATATACTAAGTATATTATACTAAAATAATACTGTTTCACCCCACTTAATCAATTTTAATAATAGTTAGGAATTGTTCAAAAATATAGAATATAAGACACGGGCATAATCTTTACTCTTATTATTAGTATTTTAATGCAATAGAGTCAATAAAGGGTCATCTGATCAAAGTTAGGTAGTTAGGTACTTAATTGCAATATCTAGGTAAATTAAAAGAAATTCAATTCGTTCCGTCATTCTAAAGTCGTGTGTTCCAGGAAATACTAATTGACATTTTAAATAGTCATAATATTACTTGTTTATTATACCATACGTTTAAATAATATGTCTTTAAACTTATATTTTTGACCAAATTTCGCAGTACTCTTATGACTGTAATATTATGTATTACCTCTTACCTATACAACTATTTTCCGTATAATAATAATAAAATTATCTAATACTGAAGAATCATTAAAATAACCGGGGGGTAAATACTTAATACTAAATAACAAATATCAGAAAGCCGGGTTCATCTGCACCATAGACATATTAAATAAAAATATGTCTAAATAATATGTCTATGTAGGTACATACTACATGTTACTATGGTAGTATGTAACACTCAAGTGTATGGTACGACGAATATTTAATTTTATTCAATTACTTTGTTCAATTAATTGAATAATGTACGAATGAACAAGTTTACCCAAGTTTCCAATTTCCATAAGATAAAACATCGGTCATCGGGGTAAAACATCGAAATTTTTCCCGATACATAAAAAAAAACCATCGATGTATCGGACAAAAACATCGATGTTTTTAAAAAATCGATGTATTTTGCCCATCCCTAATGGATGGGTGTTGCGAGGGGATGCTCAGAACGAACCGATTTTCGTTGGGCAGCGGCGTTTTCTCTTGACGAACAGATTATATAAACTATATTTATATTTCACCGGGATAATCTGTCCAATATTCAAAAAAGGAGACTCTGGTATCGTATCAAACTACCGCGGAATTTCCTTATTAGATACAGCTTACAACATTTTATCGATGGCATTGCTAAGAAGATTAGAAATATATGTGGAAGACATCTTAACAGAGTATCAAACTGGTTTCAGAAGAGGAAAATCTACAACGGATCACATATTCACAATAAGACAAGTAATGGAAAAATTCTATTAAAAATATTAAATTTCTGTTATGTCAGATATGTCCTACTATTCCTTATTTTAATGCTTAATATGTTGATTAATAATTATAAACATATAAAATGCTACTGATATTGGATGAATAAATAAATTACTCAATAGTATAAAATATAACACACTTGGGCACAACCATGGCTAAATATACAGGCATGTTCTCCAGATAACAGTGTGCATATTATGATGACGTATGCTTGGGCAACATGTAGAAGACAATGAAATATCATAGTGGAAGAAGTAAATAATTTATCAATTTAAATAAATAATAAACTAAAAACAACAGGTTAACAGGTATCAAATTTAAATTAGCAAAGTATATTATTTTATAATAGCCATGAATTCTACATTACAATTTTTTTAATTTTACTGTTTGTGTAATTTTGTTTAACAGTTTTCTGCTGGTTTGCTCGATTCAGCTCTCTAATTCGTATACATATATGTCCGTGTTCGAATCATACAAGCTAGAACTTCTTCTGGTATACAATTTTCCGGAATCTCGTTTTGCACCATTATTTTTAATTTTTTTACTACACCTGGTTCTTTATTCATGTTCTGTCCATGAAATGTATTGAATAATTTTTCTAACACCTTTGACGCATTCAATAAATTCATTGATGGCCGTGTAAGATAACCTTAACATATTATTAAATGTATTTTGTACTAATGAGCACATACATAAAATAGGTACTTAATAATGTATGATTTACCTTTTGAAATATAATCGATCCTTTGAATCATTTGTTTCAATTTGATTCGAAAGCTCTGGATATTTATTTTTATACTTATGGGCTATTGATCCAGCTATATATTGTAAATTTTCAATTTCCCAAGGATTATCTGGGTACAGATCTTTCATCTATAAATCAAGAAACATACAGGTAATGTAAATTAATTTGAATTTTTTTAAGTTGATAATAAAAGTAATTTAAAACTTAGTTATAAACCAGTTCATTGCATACCTAATTTTAATATAACTCACCTCTAAATCAAATGCATTTAATAGAAATGTGTCTTTATTGTTGGTATTTAAATTAATATTAATGATCTGGTTATTACTATGCAAAGTAATTGTACTTAACTCAGGAGTAAATATTTCAGCTTCATTGAAAACATCACCTACAAATACTGACAGATGATTTGACTCTTCAGTCATGTCACATGCATTTAATAAATATTCTGCTTCTCTATTTTCTTCTGTATTTTGATTTGAAGTTAAAACAACAGAATGTTTTCCCAATATGTATGATCGAAGTCTAAATTATTGAAGTACAGAATTTATTAAACATTTTAATTGTTGATATAGATGCATTGGTACCTGTACTTGATGTCTAGTAGATTAGGATGAGTATTAAAACCACCCATTTAAAATAGGTATTGCTGTTACAAACTAATTATACAATGAAGGTAAATTGAACATGTACCTATCCAAATTAGAATCCAAACTATTGATAGAACTAATAGATTCATCGATATCATTAAAGAGACATCTAGATATATGTTTTCTATTATTTATAACATTTTCTACAGCCTAAAACAAAATTGTATGTTTATAAATAAATAAGTATATCTAACTATGTTTCTCCATATGAAAATTGTACTTACATAAAATTGCTCTGGAGTATCATCATGGCTTGTACTTGTGCAATTTATTGTAGTCATAGTCGAGGTACTCATACTGTCCAAACTTAAATTTAAATCCTCATCATTATGAACCCTACATTTTTTTCTATGTTCTACAGGTGAAATCTTAAGTATTTTGGAATTTCATATTATTATAATACAATAAATGAAAAACTGAACATTCTAAGTTTAATAAATACAATTACCTTCATAGTTACAACAGGTATATTTTTTGCTGGAATTGCGTCTAATTTTAGTTTAATCTTTTGTCTTGGTGAATAGTTCATAAAGGTATCCATAAATGTTTTTTGTATATCTTTTGGAGAGAAATGTATTGAACATACTCTTGCTATATTTATTAATTTTTTGTTTTTACAATTATCAATAGTAATAATTTGCATTGTTAAATAATATATTTATATTATTTCATTTATTGAATTTAGTTAATTAATTATGCCTATATAATATTAATGTTTGCTTAAAATGTATCTTATATAAGTATTTATTAAATAAATTAACAAATTAATATATTTATAATTGATTGTTGTATTTTTATATGTACTATACTAAACTTGTAAATAGTTATCAATGACTGGTAACATTATGTATTCAAAATATATTTTTTTATTAGAATTAACATAATACTTGTGTCTACGAGTAATGGGTATACACAATAATACAATTATAATAAATTGTAAAATGACTACACTATTTCAATTAAACATTATGATGGGATATCCTTAAAATAGGTGTAGTATATTTTACATAGGTAAAAACAAGTATAAAAATTAATTATTTTAATAGTATTTGAAATTTGAAAGTAATGTACATGAACACCGTTTGATTGCATGACGTCCAATATATTAACTATAACGTAGGTACTTTAATAGATGTTAATTTTAGTTGTTGCATATCATTGATGATCGATTGAAATTAACTTACCATATTTTACATTTCGGCTTGGTGATTTACCACGAGCCGTCCACCATCTCAACTTCATTACAGGAGATTTGGGAAAACTATAATATCTAATATTATTACTTTTCCCTGAAATCGTATTGTTCCGACAACCATCAACGGGTATGGTTAGGAGTTAGGAGTTATCAGGTTGGGAATTGTGAATTATAATTTTTTTAAATAGCTAAATTTAGCCATGGCTATAAATTTATCAAAATAAACAAATAAAATGTTATTAGGTACAATATTTTTATTTTTATCGAACAGGAAACAATAACATAATATGTATATATGTAATACAATAATACAGTACCTAATGACGAATATGTTGTACATTATACATTTTGGAATTAAGTATAATTAAAAATTATTTTCAAATACATATGTAAAATATTCAATGTATACCAATTATTTGAATTTAATTTTGAATATTGATATTTGATAACATCTGTTTTTGGCGGGAACGTGACGTCACCTTGGGCAAGTGCGCACTGATAGTGATTCTAGAATACAGCAGAACATGCCTGTATATTTAGCCATGGGCACAACAACATAAATCCATGCTCCCCTCAACTTTGGCAAACAAATATTAGGTACATCATCAATTTTTTTTTCTTACTCAAAGTTTACATCATTGTGTATAATTATACAAAGAATAATAAACAAAATATGACAAAATTAATTTTAGCAAGTATTTAGTCACTAAAAAAGAATTTTCTCTGTCCTGAATAACTTTAAAAAGTGGATTTATCTGGTTGTTGCAGCAAGCCCTTCAATATTATTATCGTGCAGTCACAAGTCACATATGAAGAGCGCGCTCTATCGATGACCGTTCTACGTGTATAAATGGCCTGTCTATTAGTATAAAGCGCGTTACACACTACCTGATTTGGTCATGCCGACAGGATAATTTGGTCAGACAGACGTCATATCATTTCGTGTGTAGACGTGTCGTCTGACTTTAATCCTGTAGGGTCTTGTCAGGTGGCCATACCATCTGATCGCCCGACCGACCGACCAAATCATATAGTGTGTAGCACTGTCGGGCGGATTTTAGTTTTTTTATTGAGGTTAACGTGATAACACGTCTGTGTACCTAGTACCTACTTCCAGTTTAATTAATCGGTGTCAAGACGTTATAGTGTTTTACATTTTAAAATTTAGTTCATTTACATTTTACAATGACTGCTGTTTTAACAGAAAGAGAAGTGATGTCGGATTTTTTAGAACTGTACAAATCTTTTACATGTTTATGGGATATTACTTGTAAGGACTAACTAAGGAGTACAGCAGCAGGGATGCGAGAAACCAGGCGCTTGAGTTTTTAAAAGAAAAGTTAAAACAAATAGACAATGACGCTAGTATCTCAACTGTAAAAAAGAAAATTGAGAATATCAGAGCTGCATACATAAGTGAATATAAAAAAGTAAACAAATCAATTTAATATTTAATATAAACCATTAAAATATCCTATTATAGTATTGCACATTATTATTTATAATTTAACTTGCAGGTACAAGATAGTAAAAGAACTGGTGCTGGTCTAAAAGATATTTATATGCCATCTTTATGGTATTTCGAATACCTAAAATTTCTAAATGAAAAAGAAAACTCAAATATAAATGGAATTGACACTATCGATTTCAGAATTTATGATGAGGTAATGATTTATTATAATGTTTTAATTTTTTAATTTATTTATTAAAAATCAAAACAATATTACATAATACATTTAACTAGGTAACATTAACTTAATTTATATTCATTGAAAATACCTATATTATATTGTATTATTAATTTTTATAATGTAATAAAAACTATATATCATGGATAAAAAATATATCTTATGTTAGATTACTGAAAAATACTTAATTAGGTACAAATTTAAGACTTCAGACAAAAAAAAAAATAATTTATTATATTACAAATTTTAGACTCCCAATACATTTATCATCCTTTCTTGGAAATCTACACTGCCTAGACCATTAAAATATTCTTTAAATATGTTCCTGACGGTTTTGCCTTCTTCTGTATTTGATTAATATTGATTACATCGATTTACATCCAACAATGTTTGTTCCTGCCGCCAAAGACCTCCTCGGAGTGTAGCACTTTCAAAGTCTTCTCTGTCTACACAGTTATTTGTTATGTAATTTTTTGATTTTTTGCTTAAAAAATTATGCGGAGCGCAACATGCTAGAATTATTACATCATTTTTAACGTCAACCATTATTGGCTTTTTAAACAATCGCACAGTGGGCGGAACTTCGAAAATAGCTGGACAAAAATATAATTTTCATTTAACTCATAATTGTTTTGAAATTGATGTTATTCGTTTATAAGAATGTTATAGTCAACAAAATACAAAAATTATCAGCAGTTTTTGACAGATAATGATATTTATATATTGCTATAAGATAATAATTGGTCAGTCATACAATATTTTGCCTCATTTGCTCTTGAGAATTCAAGTGGTAATAGTCATTCAATTTCCGGTTTTTATATTTTATTTACGATGAAGGTTACTAATGAAGGTATGTATTAGAGTTTATGTTTCATAATAATAATTTTAACCACCCATTTAATAGTATTATAAATAATCAATGCATAATTATACGTTTAATTTTAAATATTTTAAATTTAATGGTAGTTTTAAAAAAATGGTCAAAACTGACCTCTATAAATAGTATGCCAAATTGTTATACAGTTCATAAAATTTAATTTTATGTATATTTTGTTTGCTCTTCGTTGCTTCTATTAAAATAATTATCATTTTTGTCAGGTGTTATGCGTAGAGAATTATTTGAATTTTTAAGAAAAAATGGAAATATAAGACCACTGGATGCTCAATCTCGAAAAATCATAATTGAATATGTAGAAAATAAGTTAAATGTACGCAGTATTCAAACAAATATTCCTTCGGTCATTTTTACTTTTTTATCAAGCCATCAAAAAAATGGAAAGAGTGTGGTCGTAGTGCAAATAAATTGTATTTAAAATACTCTCTCTGGCTGGATACTAAATTAATGTTTTCTTTTAAAAAAAAATGAGCCTAATAATACTATGACTGAAGGCCGCGGTCGTCCAAAAAAACCTTTTCAAGAAAGCTGTGAAAAAACAAAAAAAAGAAAGGTTCAACATTTGTTAGACTCGCATAGTTCTCAGTAATTAGCATTTGCTTCTCGTCTAAGCTTACACCGTTCTGGTAAAAGGCATGCTTCGTCAGTTATTCAAGAAGTGACCGAAAAAACACCAACTCGAGCTCATAAATTAAAAAAAGCATATAAAATGTCCATGCGTAAGTCTAATAATAATAAAATGTTTTCTCCAGAAGAAGCGTTGGCTATTCTTGTAGATTTAAACTTGACCAAGCAACAATATATGACATTACGCCAACGACTAAAAGAGAAAGAAGTGTATGTTTTTCCTTCTTACGATGTTATAAAAAGTGTAAAAAAAGAATGTTATCCACCTGACCACAGTATTGTCGTTACCGAATCATCTGCGGAAATTAAATTGCAGGCCATATTAAATATTACAACTTCCCGAATCGTCAAACTACAAGATATAGTTCTTCAGCAATGTATAAATGATATACAACCAGATTCAGTAGAATGTATTTATAAATGGGGTTTTGACGGAAGTTCTGGTCAAAGGGAATACAAACAGAAATTCACTAATGATACTTTTTGTGATTCAAATCTTTTGTACCAATTCAAATACATGGACTTCAAAAATCCAATAGTGAAAAAATAACATTATGGAAAAATCCACGTCCATCATCAACTAAGTTTTGCAGACCAGTTCGGTTTTTATTTGAAAAAGAAACAAAAGATACCATAAAAAATGAAGTTATGTATATTTAAAATCAAATTAACGACCTTGAACCAACAAAAGTGATTATTGGCTCAACAAATCTAAAAATCAATAATAAATTGTTGCTCACCATGATTGATGTAAAAGTTTGCAATTCAATAACCTACACAAGTTCCCAAGTTTGTTATATTTGTGGAGTATCTCCGAAATATACTAATAACTTAGAATTAGCTAAAAATAGAACTAATAATGTATCGACTTATTCGTTTGGTTTGTCTACTCTCCATGCACATATACGATTTTTTGAATGTCTCATGCATATTTCGTACAGGTTGGAAGTGAAGAAATGGCAAATGAGAAGCCCGGAAGACAAACAATCATTTAAACGTAGAAAAACGTATATAATCAATCGTTTTCGAAAAGAAGTTGGTATTATTATTGATCAACCTAAACAAGGTTGTGGGTCAAGCAATGATGGTAATACTGCTCGGAGGTTTTTTGAAAATGCTTTATTAACAGCAGAAATTACCGGATTGAATGTAGAACTAATATCTAGATTTGGAGTAATACTTGCAACAATTTCAAGTGGTTTTCATATAAATATTTCGGCATTTGAAAAGTATGCTATGGATACGGCAAAACTTTACATAGAATATTATAACTGGTACTATATGCCAGCTAGTGTCCACAAAATTTTATTGCACGGTGCCGATGTTATAAAACATTGTTTGCTACCAATTGGGCAACTATCTGAGGAAGCCTCGGAAGCGAGAAATAAGCATTACAGATCTTTTCGAGAACATTTCACTAGGAAAACCAGTCGGATTGATACAAATATAGATCTTCTTCATCGTTTAATCGTTACTTCTGATCCGGTTATATCATCAATACGGCCAAATCCTTCCAAAAAAATGGTGCCAATATCCCCAGAAGTGTTAACTCTTTTAACTAGTTCAGATTCAATACCTATAGAAAAAACCGTTGCTATTCCAAACTCAGAATCTGAATAAAATAGTATATTAAATGTTAAATATTATTATGTTAAATTTTTTTAATGTATATTTAAGACGACTTATAACCAATGTTCAATATTATTCAACTCCTGTAAATTATACGTAAAAAAACATTAAACAAAATTATGTTACATTTATTATTTTTGTCCAGCTATTTTCGAAATTCCACCCACTGTGAATCGGAAACGCGATGGTAAAATTCCAAACTCATTTTCAACTACTCGTCTCGCGCGTGATAGTCAGTAGTTAAAAATGCACTTGTCATGTGGTAAGTTTTTTTGAGGAAATGGTTTCAAAATGTGTTTAGATATCGCAAATGCACTATCACCTAAAAAATCATACGGTGCTGTTGTATTTGTATTAGGAAGCAACTTAGGTTGTGGTAGCATTAGTTGTCCTGAAGTTAGTTTTTTATAAAATGCTGTATGTTTTAAAACACTCCCATTTACACCAGTATGAACATACATAAATTTGTAGTCAGCTGTGACAACTGCTTATAAAACAACATTGAATGTAACTACCCTTATAGTTGTAATATAGAGATCCACTTCCTGGTGGCTTATTGATTAGGACATGTTTTCCGTCCATTGCGACCACACAATTATTAAACTGCCACTGGGTTTCAAATTGATTAACCTGTTCTAACCATTCGTTTTCTGTTGTAGGTATCTGAAACACAAAGCATTGTAAATGAACCATCAACTACACTGGGTAAGAAACGACGTGGTACAAAGTTGCAACAACAACAACAAACATTAATTGAAACCGCACAACATTTAATCTCTAAAGCAGATAGCCCAGAGGACACATATGGGAAAAATATAGGAATGCAGCTAACAGAAATGACTTAAACTCAAAAATGTATTGCTGAACAATTGATATCAGAAGTTATTTTTTACGGAAAATTGGAAAAATTGACTTTAAGTTCATGAATTTCATTAAGCGGCTATGCTAATTCTTATAACTATTCAACACCATCAGGGCCGGACTGGCCCAGTGGTCTACTGTCCTAGAGGATATTAAAGGAGGATATTAAAATAAAACAACCGTATTCCATAAATAAATCTGAGTTCTTATTTCATTTTACTTTATCTGGACCTAATTTAAAAATTGTACTTACCTAAATGTAACTGCCAATTTTTCTTCTGGTGATATGGGTTTCCTTATAAAGAATGTTGGATATAATGTTAAATCGTCTCTTATTAGATTCAAAATAAAATTGAACTGATTACGGTTTAATCTAAAAATTCCCTGAACTTAATTTCATTATTTTTCAGATGGCCGTTGATAAGTATTTCATGGATAACCTTCAGTACTCCTCTTTGTAAGTAATGGATCATGCTGCTTTCTTTTTTCTTCCGACAAATACCAGAGCAAGATGTCGTCATCTTCTTCTTCTTCTAGCAAAAGAATTCTTAAGATTTCTTTATCGACTGTAATCGTATCCATTGTAATAATTTTTAAATACGAACAGTACTTGTGCACCGTGAACTTCAAAATATCGAATACGACTGACGAACGACTATTAAATATAAATTATAAATATTTCGGTCGCAACGTCTAGAGCAAACCAACATGAAGCGAACACGATCTTAAATCGTAGTTCGCGTACGCTGACCGCGTTCGTAGTTCGCGTTCGCGATTGCGCAAGGGAAACCGTACCTTAAGTGTATTATTTAAGTGTAGTCTGTTAGGCTTTTGAGTGTATCACCGTGTTGTGCCGTAAGTTAGTCACTCATATTATAGTCGTAAATTAGTCGTATATTAGTGACACAATTTTTTTTAAGCAAAAACTGCAATGGAATTCATTTACAGTCAGAACGTTAAAAGCCATTAATAGTTGATAAATATAATTTTTTTTTTACACTATACTGCAAAGAGTGGCCAAAAAACTTGGCGTTGTATTAATAATAAGTGTAAAAGCAAAATGTATACAAATTATACAGAGGACGAAAATATTGATAAAAATTTAGTTCTGATTCACAAACACGAAGAAGATGCTACATTGAATCGCCAAGAAGTAAATTATTTATTGAAAAGGAAAGTAAGTGAAGACAATATTGTAGAAAAACCTTCCAAGTTTATTTTAACTGAAATTAAAAAAATTAATACCGAAAATAATTTAAACACAACTGATCTTAATTATTATATTAGACGAAATTTGTATAATTCATGTAAGTCCATTTTGCCACCTTTGCCTAAAACTATTGACGAAGTTCATGATACCATAAATTTAATGGATATAAAAACAAACCGCTTTGAACAATTCGTTTTATCAAATGATCAAGATACCCATATTATAATAATATGTTCTTGTTTAGAAAATTTAAAATTTCTCTGTTCTAGTGAAAAAATATTATTAGACGGCACATTTAATTATTGTACAAAATATTTTTTGCAGTTATTTAATATTCGTGGTTTTAAGAATCAAAATTATATACCATTAGTTTTTGCTTTGCTTCCTGACAAAAATAGCCATACATACAGCACATTATTTTTAAAAATTAACGAAATTTGCTTTCAAAATAATTTAAGGTTCCAACCAGTTATAATTGTGGTGGACTTAAAAGTTGCTATTCTTAATGCAATTAAAAATATTTGGCCAACGGTGCAAATTTGTGATTGTAATTTTCATTTGTGCCAAAATTGGTATAGAAAAATCTAGCAATTGGGCTTAACAAATCATTACAATAATGATGAATCTATGATTGGAACATTTTTAGTTCACACATTCGGTTTACCATTCTTGCAAGATGCTAACGAAATTGAAGATTGCTTTGTATTTGATTTGTTAGAAAATATTCCATCAGACGATAAGGTCCAACAATATTGTGACTATATATCTGAAAATGATACCTATTTCTTCATATTCAGTATTTCCACAAAAATTGTGGTCTCCTAATGAGACTACTAATGCGAATCTTTTCATTCAAGATATAATAGTAGTTTTTACTTTTTTGTCATCATCATCCAAATCTCAATTTATTCGCGAAAGTTTTGAAAGACATACAGACCGAAACATATATTAAAATTAGAAACAGCCATATGACACAACTTAGACCGACAAAAACAATTTTAAAATATGAATTTATACTTACACAAAAAATGAAATATACACTAGGAGAAATTTCACGTTTAGAGTTTATCTCCAGAGTATGTCACAAAAATAAGAGTAAATAAATATGACTATATTGTTTTATTAAATTTTTATTTTTTTTTTTTGAAGATGATGAATTGTCAATGGTGTCCAGGTAAAAAAAATTGTATAACATAGAATAAAATTAAAAAAAACAAATAAGATTTCTAACTGATAAATTGAAAGGTTGTCATGTCGAATTCTTGGGAAAAGTTGATTACAAAATTGGCTATGTATCGTTTTGTAAATTGAAGTCATTTTGTGTTGTAAAACATAAAGTTTCTGAAATGGACACATGCTTGTTCAAAGTTCATACAAACATTGAGTTTTTAGTTTCAGCTCTATTTAAAAAGAACATCATTGACAATGCTAACTATAAAAGAGTTCACTCGTCATGTATTTTGTAATATTGATAATGTAGCAAAGAATGTGTACTATTTGCAAGTACTTACAAATTCCTTATAATTTATTTGAGGCAGATACTTCAGCCACATACTTCAAATGGCAAGTAAAAAATGAAATTTTTACAGTCAAAAACAAAAAAAACTTATTCTGTAAAACACACTGTGAAATACAAAATAACTGTTTCTGCCATGGACGCTGTTAACACATTTAATGATGAGTTATAACATTTTCACTAAATTTAATGTCTTGACGCCCGATGTATGTTTATCTGAATATGATATTATTTCCGATGTCATTACATCGGGATTAGGTTTTAATCACTATACTACTTTGGTAACTGTAGAAGCCCCGTGGTTTAGGAGGTTGACCAGTTGCGACTACACTTACAAATACGCTCTGACTTCTAGTCAGAAGGGTAACACGGGTTAAATAAACAGAGATGAGTGTTCGGTGTGACGCGAGAGCGTCGAGGTTGGTTTATTAAAAACAGTATTTAAATAATTCGTTAACAAATATAAAATGTCGTACGCAGTACGGAATATACAAAAAATAAGCGAAAAGCGTACGGACTCGGAGCTTCGGCTGCGTCGCGATGCGTTGCGTTAGGTATTGGTCACACTACACCCGATATCGGCCGAAAAACGTTCGGCCGAATTCGGCCGTATACGCCCGAATATATTAATTCAATTGAATCTATTTATAATGGTCACACTAGTTCAGAATAATTCAGCCGTATACGACCGTTAACGGGCAAAAACAATATTATTTGTTTTTATCGGCCGTTTGAAGCCGAAAATGGATATTTCCCACGCATCGTCTACCAATCCGAAATAATACCAATATAGTTGAACAATTATTATTATTAGGTTTTAGTATTATTATTCATTTACATCAAACACTAGTAAGAAGACGGTACGTCGTACGTAACTAGTTTTTGTGTTTCATTGCCTGTGTTTTATTTAAAAAAAAGTACCTTGGAATTTTGAAATAATGGTTGATTGCGAACGACTAATTAGTTTAGTTTTTGAAAGAGAACCTATATGGGATTCTACAAGCAAAAAACACCATAATAGAGATATAACCAGTTAATTGTGGCAGGAAATTGAAAAAGAAATGCAGGTCAAAGGTAAGTAAATATAAAAATATAAATACATAAATTTAATAAAATATTGTAATTGAGATTATTGTTTATTATTATTATTATTATTAATATTGTGATGGTGGTAAATCTGAATTAAATTTGATAAATAGATAATAAATAAAATACAAATTTAGGTATGAATAATTATATAATATTATTGTAGGTACAATTTAACAATTGTTACTTTTATTTTATAGCTCCAACCGTTGTGAAATAATCTTTAAAAGTATCACGTACCTATTATGTATGCTTCCGTTCTTGATCTGTTATTGCGTCTAGATACTGAATGTGTTTCTGAGTTTATAGTTCGGTCACGACGAACCTGCTCCAGTAGTGTTTCATCTATACCTTCTTTATCGATGATAATATTATGCAATAAACATATAGTCTTAATAACTATATCAACATGTTCCGGGTTCATTTGAAGTTCGGTTTTTAAACATCTCCATTTCGATACCAAAATTCCAAAAGTGCATTCAATCATACGCCGAGCTTTGCTCAAACGGTAATTAAATGTTTCTTTTGCCGAATCCAAATTTTTATCGAATGGATAGGGTCTTAATAGATACTCTTTCAGTGGATATCCTTGATCATCCAATAGAACAAATGGCATTGGAGTAGTTGTGTTTGGTAATGGTCTCTAATTAGGTACATTGAAGGATTTAGCTTCCAAATTTTTAAAAATATTTGATTCGGTAAATATTCCACTATCGCTCTGTCGTCCGTATGCTCCTATATCAACCGATATAAATTTATATTTGGCATCACAGACTCCTTGTAAGTGAACAGAAAAGTAACCTTTGTAATTATAAAACATCGAACCAGAGTTATTTGGGCATTTTATACGAATATGTTTTGAGTCAATACATCCAATACAGTTCGGGAATTTCCATAGTTTCTCAAAATCATAGGCAATTTGTTCAAATAATTCAGTGCTTGGGAACGGCATATGAATGCTAGAAAAAACCTCCCAAATAGCATTACAAGTCTCGTAGATAATTTTACCAATTGTATTATGGGCCATACGGAATGAAAATGACAACGCTCGATAAGATGTGCCTGTAGATAGATACCTAAAAAATACAAATAAATAAACATACATTTCCTTGAAAAAAAATAAGCAATTATTGGCAAAACAAATCAAAGAACTTCTAAAAGTTTCAAGTACCCAGGAATAATATTTTTATGGTAATACTAAACTTGAACTTAAATAAATAAAAAATAATTATGTACATTATGCATGTACATGCATATATAATATTATGTATTTTTAATATTTTTAAACTGCTATTGTACTTAACAATTTGTGTGAGAAACCTTGTATTACATTTTTCAACTTTTTGAACCTTTTTCTAACCTTTCTAACCTTTTTCTAACCTTTTTCTATGAATGTCAATAAAATTGTATTTGTCGAGTAAAAAAATCTTAAAAATTTAATATAAGTCTCCTAATATATATTGTTACAGTGATATTTTAAAAATATTAAAAATCTGGCCATATTTTTTTTTTATAAGCATTTAAAGTTCAAATATTGATAAAATACGTAAAAACAACGAAAATGTGCAAATTATTTTGGAGCTAGAAATTCATAAAAATTTTGTTTGTAAATCTAAGATTTGAAAATGTAATACAAGATTCCTCATAAGTTTGTCCACCTTTAACAAAAAAAAATTCTATAAGATAGTCAAATTAAATTTTTATGAGCGTATAAGTACATATTTTTACAACATTGGATATTTACTTGATTTCTCATGTAGCGATTTTCTTATTTTGTTGTTATTCAATAACGAATAACTGCGAATACATGTAATTTTCACTGAATGTTTATATTTTCATTTTCTAAACTTAAATAATGTTGACTCATTTTTACGGTAAATTTAAAATTTCAATTTTTTTAGTTTTTTTTTTATAAATATCAATAAAATTTTGTGTTGGGCCAAAAATCCTCCAAGACTCCTGATATATTGCTACAATAGTATAGTTGAAAATATTAAAAATACATAGACATGATTTTTTTTATAAGAATTTGAAGTTTAAATATTGACAATATTTATCAAATTTAAAATTTAATAATTATTTGTAATTAAAAATGTATAAAATATTCAAATTTTGTAGCTAAGGATTGAACATTTAAAACCTTCTCCATAGGTATAAGTAGTTATTTCCATAATCAAAAAATCTAAAAATTTACACGAACACAGTTTTTTTTTTTAGTTATTTAAAGTTCAATTTTGAACGAAATTATATATTAAATAACCATAAATAATGATTTTACTTATTTTCTAAAATTTTCTAATATTAATTCAACTTACCGCACGGATGCCGTAAATAAAAACAACTAAGAAGTAATAACAATACAAATATAATATAATATAATTATAATATGTATAAACATTTAGTAGGCTAATTTTTTTTTTTTACATAGGTGATATTTTAAAGGATAAATGGGCAAGTTTGAGAGATACATTTAGGAAAGAATTTAAAAAATTAAAACGTCCCACAGGATCAGGATAAGAAGAAGAAGCTGTTGAATCTCAGTGGAAATATTTTGAGTCGTTATATTTTTTAAAGGATAATATAACTCCTAGAAAAATGGTGGGAAACATAGTAGAACAATCAAAAACTCATATTGATGAACAAGAGAGCTTTCCAAATTCACCATGTAATTCGTCCATTGATGTCGTGAATGATTTTGATGAAACAAGTTTTTCTGAAAAAAGTACTGAAAATCCATCGTCTGGTATTTTATCTTTTGAAGAAGGACCATCATCAAAAAAAAAGAAGGGAAGAAATGATGTGATGCAAGATTTACTAGCAATCGAAAAACAAAAACGTCTACAGTTCAATACGATACAGGCAAATTCACAAAAAAAAAATTATGATGAAGATGAAGATTTTCATTTCCTTATGAGTTTGTTGCCTCATTTAAGAGAAATACCAAAACACAGAAAGTTAGCTGTAAGACTTAAACTTCAAAATGTTGTAATGGCAGAACAAACTGAAAATACCACTGGATCAAGTAATACTTTTACTCCTTCAACATTCTTTGTCAATTCATCGATTCCCCCTATAACCTCATACTATATGAATCAGCCCGAATATTCTTCATCAAATGGCCAGTCTAATATTAAGAACACTATTCCTTGTGGTCAACCAAACTTAAATCCTACATCTGTAGATAATGCATGTTTATCTTCTTGGCCAAACATTAACAACGAATAAAAAAAATGTATATTTTATAAGCAAGTTAATTTTTTACTATAATATTAAAAAGTTATGTATTATTTTTTTTTTAAATTGAAAGTACAAAACGTTGTTTTTCTTATTAAATTGTTCAATAAAAGTTGTTTTCATTATTTTATTCTTATAAATTTGTTCAATAAAAATTTTTTACTATTTTATACTGATCTATTTTTTCAATAACTTTATTCGTGTTATATTAAATTTGTGTAAAAAAAAAACATAATTATAGCCTCGGAAAATTATAATTATCTCATTTCATATTAGTTATTTTATATATTAATTGAAAAATTATAAAGTAATGATTACCTATTAACAATAATATTAATATAAATAATAATATTTACCTTAAAGTTACTACAAGTCTTTCTTCTGGAATTATGCATTTTCTGAAACTGCAATACTTTTCTATGTATGGACGAATTTTTTCCAAAATATAAAAAAAGGTTTCAGGTGATACCCTCATATATTCAAAAAATTTGATTGGCTGTTTTAAAAGTTGTGGGAAAAGCGTGTGAAATTCACCATATTTTTCCCTTTCTTCAAATATTCTGTTGACCCACCATTGCCTTTCTACTTTTTCACTGAACAGTAAATACTTTAGAACAGGACTGGTTTCCAAAAAATAAAGTTGGTTGATTACTTCCATTTCATACAACTACTGAACAACGAATGAGGCATATTACAATAAATTCAAACGGTTGTGTATATTTGACCGATGACGGGTGTAGTGAGACCAGAAAATTCGGCCGATAAATGAACCCGAAAAATCGGACGAATTTGACGGTCTCGAATCGGCCAATATCGGGCGTAGTGTGACCAATGCCTCAGGAGAACGAAAGTTGGGAGGTCAACGGCGCGGCGTCTTAGCCGTCGTAGCGCGAGCCGTTGCCGCCGAGAGTGGCGGGGGCAAGCTCAACCGTTATACAACAAACATAAACTTAAATAACATAAAGGTCGTATAGACAATAATACAAAACGAATATAAAACAATATAGTAATTATTTATATAAAAATAAAGGCGCGGTGTTAATGCGCTAGTGGTGATAAGACCCCGATATCGCCAGGGGTATGAAACTCCGTGAATTGGTCGAATCGGGCGATTGTGGCCTTGAACACGGTTTCCAGGGGGGTGTGGGATACGTGAAATATGAAATGGTAAACAAGATAACCCTGCTTAACTTATCCCGCCATAGTCTTGGAACCGTTTTCATGTTTTTTGTAGGTTCGGACTTCAGATTATAGGTAACCAAGACCCCAATCAGCTGATAGAGTTTCGATTCTATATTGTTCTATGGTATACACTACTTATCGCTATGTTCGTAACTCAAATACAAGCAACTGCTCTAGAGTCCGTCCATCCTAAGACCGCTACTCGTTCTCGCATCCAAATGACCGAGCTCCGCTGTTTCGTACCCAAATTTCTCCCACTATACTAGAGCACTAGCACTATAGAAGTAGGTATAATCGTCCGCCATTTTGCGACAAATGATTACCAGTTATCACTGTTTCAAACATACAGAATAATTGAGAAAATCAGAATACAGATTAGAGATACGTTTTGTTTTAAGTTAAACTAAAAAATCTATATGGTTTCAACTATAGAACTATAAACCAAGTAGTTAACCCTTAAACTATTAAACTCTAAAATATAATAGATATAGTTTTTAATTCTCAAGGTAATATAAGTTATAACTATAAAATACTACCAAAGATTGTACTGCGGTTGTACTGCTCTAAATTGCTCCAATACGCGTAGTAATACGGTTTTCATCTTTTTCGATTTCCTAGAGACCCCGAAGGACGAAAAACTTGGTTACAAAATTGTAGCGGTGACAAATGACAGCCTACAAATTATTCTGAGTTGTGTGAAGTATGTATTAGATCATAATTTATTAATACAATTTAGTCATGTTAATATTTTTTGTCGTTTCCTTCAGAATATACGCATTAGATATAAATATCGTAATATAATAAAATATAATTTTATATCTTATGCATATTCCAATAGATCCATTTTGAAGAAGGGCAATTTGAACAACATCGTCAGGATGGTGTAAAAAAACCAACACTGTTTGATATACCAAATCTACCGCACTTGTTGGAAACCAAAAGAAAATCTTTGTATGAGGTATAATATATCATTATAAAACCAAATTTAATATAGTTAAAAATTTGCTTTTGTTACTTAAATTATATATAAAAATATACTATTATTGTTATTACTATTAATAGTAACTTTAAATTATTTTATCTATTTAATTTATTTACAAGGCACATTCTTATAATAATCTTATTAATTATAAGTAAAGTTATGCAGTTATTCAAATTTTAAATAAATATAATTGTATTAGATCTTATTTTTCCAAACGTTTCTGTAACTATAAATTTTAATAACCGTTAATCATTTTTTTTTAATCTTAATAATTTTATTCTAAACAATATACTAACAAAACAAACAAATAATAGGTAACTGAGTCCAAATATTCTGATTTGGACCATTATCAATCAATATTGTTAAAAGAGAAGCAAGAATTGCTTTTTGTTCAACAAGAAAATAACAACTTGAAAATTAGCCTTAAGGTATGAACACAACTAAATTTACATACTTGTAGATTGGTATCATTTAATTTAATTTCAATTTTATGTTTTGCAGGTAGATAATAATCAATGTTATAATATAACAGGCAACCATTTTTTTCAAAACTATTGAAGAAAAAAAATAAATTGTTATCATTACAAAAAGAAAAGAAATTATTGGAGACAAAATTACAAATGGTCCAT